GGCAGCAAGGGGCAGCATGGCTGGGCTCAGCCAGCGGGGCTGGGCTCTGTCCCCCTCCTTGCTGCAGCCCCCCCTCCCTGACCCCCTTCTGCTGACAGCCGTCAATAAACCTGTTTGCAGTAGCTGCTGCCTGCGGGGTGTCTCTGGGCTGAGGGCTGCAGGATCCCCCCCATCCTTGCCTGCAGGGCAGGGGGGGTTCAGTCCCAGCTGCATTTGCCTGGCGGTTGTGGGGTGCAGGCTGTGCTTCTGCGAGGACGGGATGGGGACTCCCTGTGCCCCCCCATACACACACAGTCAGAGGCCAGGCCTGGCTGCAGCTGCACGAACGCGACACGAGAACTTTATTCACATCAAGATACAAAATTATATTTCTCTAGAAATTTCTCTTCTGCTCAAGTGACGAGGTGGGGGAGCACACAGAGGGGACCTGGGGCTGGGCCAGGCCCCCCTGCCCCCAGTGCTCCCCCCAACCGTGGGGGACCCCTGCCCATTCCTGCCCCCCACCCGGGCACAGGGAGGGAGCTGACACAGGACCGCCAGGTTGGGGTGCAGGAGAGCGGCTGGGGGGGGCCCACAGCCACCTCCCAGCAGCATCACCTGGTCCCCTCCTCCGCAGGGGACACGAGCCCCGTCCCTGCTGCGGTGGCAAGGGGTGCGATGGGGTTCCGTGCCCTGCACACAGAGGGGCTGAGCCCCGTGTCCCTGGGGAGAGGGGCAGGGGGGGCTGGGGGGGGCAGAAACAGAGCCAGCAGCACAGACAGCATTTTACAGGGAGAGCAGTCCCATGGGCAGGGCGAGGAGAGCGTGCGAAGCCAGGGGGGCATGGGGGAAGACGAGAGGGGAGGGCTCCTCGCCATCACTGCGGCAGCGCCTTCAGGATGGCGTTCACTTCCTCGGCCACAGCCGTCAGTGCGAACTCAAACTGGTCCTGGGGGAGCAGAGGAGGGGGTATGAGGGTCCCTGCCAGCCTGGCCCTAGGGGCTGTGTGTGCTCAGGGAGGGAGGGGATCCCCAGTTTGGGGGGGGGGGTACCTTGGTCTGCACCATGCCAGGCCGCTGGTCTCGGATGTGCTCCAGCGTAGCAGCTATGTCTATCTCCTTCACCCCTGGGGCAGAGGGGGAGAAGGGTGCTAGGAGGGGGGTCCACGGGCCGAGCACAGGGCCCCACACCCTCCGGACAGGGCAGAAGTGGTGCTGCCCTACACCTACCTTTGGCCATTCGGTTCAGGACCATGTCGACGAGGATGTACGTCCCGGTCCTGCCTGCGCCGTCACTGCAAGACACAGATGCTTGGACCAGGGGGATGGGCTCCAGGGACTGGTCCTGGCCAGCAGGTCCGCAGTACCTGCAGTGCACGATAATAGGGCAGGAGCGACCCCGGTAGCACTTGTTCACCTTCCTGCAAGGACAAGAGGGAGCAGGTCAGTGCCCTGCCATGGTGGGGACAAGGCTGCGCTAGGTGCCCCTCGCTGTGCCAAGGCGGGGGGGGGCAGCGGGCACCCCATGATGTGGCCCTGGGGGTCCGGCGCATGGTTCCTCCTGCCTCCCCAGCGATGCTGGGCACGGGATGGGGACCATGGGTGGAAAGGGGCCGGGGCAGGGAGAGGAGCCCGGCTCCTCGGGTGCCCAGCCCAGGGAGGGGAGCAGTGGCAGGACCCCCAGGGGAGCAGCTCTGGTCCGGTGGGGCGCGAAGCTGGGGGCCAGGCGCCGGCAGGGCTCCCGACATGCTCCATGCAGCAGGCACGGCTGCCAACGATCACTTTTGTGACTATGCAACTGGAGCCAGATTACTAGCTGCAAATCACAAAAATGACGCCGGCAGCTGCGAGAGAGAGACAGAGACAGACAGAGAGACAGAGAGAGCGTGAGCGGGGCAGAGAGGAGGGCGACGTGCTTGGGGGACCCCCCTAAACCCTACGTGGCCAGCCCCCGCCAGGAGCCCACCACCACCCGGGGCCCCCGAGACCCCAGCAGGCACTGCCTGCAAACCTCCCGGGAGCGGTCCCAGCCCCACAGCCCTCTCCCCGGGCCAGCTGGGGACCCACCGCTGGCTGTACGGCACAGGGAGCAATGGGTCACAGCTGTTCAAGGCTGGCTCTGGGGGTTTCTTCTTTGCACTCATGGCTGGGGAGGGTGCCAGGCGGTGCTGTCCCCTATGCCAGCTCTGGGCAAGAGCGCTTTCCCACCCTTCCCATGAAGGCTGGAGAGCCCTAGCAACCTCAGCTGGAGGTTTCTTGCCCACCAAGCTCTGCTGAGCCTCATTCCAAGCTGGCCAGAACCCGGTTCTTCTGCTTCTCCCCATGCATGGCAGCCCCCTGACCCCCCAGCCGGTCCATGCCACGGCCCTGACCCTCATCGCACTGGCAGCGATGTCCTCGCCTGTCAGTCCCCTGCGGTGTGGACCACCACCGGCTCCCTGGGGGCTGGCATGGCACCCGGTGGGCACTCACCTGCGGAAGTCAAGGAGGGGCCGGGTGGTGGCGGGGATGCCCTCGGCCGGCCAGCTGAGGAAGTGGAACTGCGTCAGGGTGCGGGTCTCCTGCGACTGCACGTTCTTCAGGTAGAAGCTGCGCACCAGGAAATCCTCGCACCAGATGTGCTCCGACACCAGGTTCACCTGCCCGAGAGAGGCAGCCGGTGGGCGTCAGCGCTGGGCAGGGGGGCTGCACGCAAGGGAACAGGGGCCGAAGGATGCTCCTAGCCCTGGGCTACCGGCCAGACTTGCCTCGTAGATGTGGTAGAGAGAGGAGCCTTCGTCAGGCCAGTAGCGGTCACACTGCTTGATGCTGTCCTCGGCCAGTGGGCTCAGCATGACGATGACAGTGCAGCCGTGCTCCCACACCATCTGCAGGCAAGGCATGGGAGTTGTCACCGCTGGGTGACAGCCTAGGCAGGAGGGTGGCTGAGCTGCTGTGACCCATTTGGTGGGCAGCACCCAGAGGGACCCCAATGGGCTGTCACAGCCGGGTGACGCTCACCTGCCAGAAGTCAGCGATAGTGTGGGACAGCGGCCCCTGCGTGGCGATGTACGCTGGCATCCGCGGGTCGTGCTCGATCTGGAGCAGGAAAGGGGGTGTCAGACTGCATGCTCTTCGGCCAGGGGTCGGTGACACCAGGAGGAGCAGGGGGGATACTCCAGGGGTGATGGGAAGGTTGGGGAGGGAGCCTCAGGTGCCGCGGCCAGGAGGGAAATGGACTTTAACCATGTCTGAGCAATGGGGCAGGCGCGTTGCTCCCATCCGTAGCCCACAGGGACACGAGCTCAGTCCAGCTCCGTCCCAGAGCAGGAGCCTTGCCTGGGCTGAGCACATCATGGAGCTGAGTGGCAGGGCACGAGCCCCCGGTGATCACTCACGATCGGACTGGCGTTGATGAAGTCGCTGCGGGATGGGTTGCTCTCGGCTTTCAGCTTGATCCGCACATGGTCATCTGGGGAAACGGAGGCCAGGGGATGTGGTGAGCGCCTCGGGGAACTGGGGGCAAACCCACGCTGCAGCCTGCTGTGGCCCCAAGCATCCCCGTGCCCCGCACCACCCTCCTGTTATGGCCCTGGGAGCCGGTCCCCAGGGCAGAGGAGCTGGGATGCTCACAGGGCACGTAGTCGGGGTTGCGGTTCTTCTTCAGGTTGGCTTCGCTCTGGGCAATGGAGCAGATGCTGGGCTCAGCCTGGTAGGCACAGAGAGCCTGCCACTCCTTGGCCAGCCGGTCCCGGTTGCGGAGGTGGTCCTCCATATAGGCCTGGGGCAGAGGGACGGGGGTCAGCCCGGCAGCCGGGGGTACACGATGGGGCTGGGGAGGAGGCTGCCACCCCACCAGGCTGGCTCACCAGGATCATGTGGCCAGTGGAGATGTCCATGTTGGACTGGACGGGCTCCTCGCACCAGGAGGGCGTGCTGCTGTGGGAGCTGGGGCTGGGCTGCGGGGCGTCGCTGAACTGGGACGAGACGCTGCTGACCCGCGAGGTCTCCGCCGGTGCCTCGGCACGGCCAAAGAGAGACTTGGCAGCCATGTGCTGGCGGCACAGCTCCTGGGGAACCCCAGCAAAAGCCCTGTTCCTTGGCCACAGCACTGCCGTAGGGCAGCCCCGTGCACCCTGAGTGATGCTGACGCAGCAATGCCGCATCCCTCAGGGTCCCGCATCCCGTGGGGTCTTACCTGGTACTCGAAGGTGGTGTCGGCAGCGCCCTCAGGCCCCAGGGAGGCCAGGCGCTCCTTCTCCCGCTGCTTGGCATGGCGCCGGAGGCAGAAGGCTGCAGCGGCCGCGATGGCGATGCCCGCCACGCAGGCCAGCGCGATGAAGGTCAGCAGCACCGAGTGGAAGCCGTCCCCGAAGCGGGATGGGCGTGAGTAGGCAGCAGCCTCATTTCGCTGGGGGCAGAGCCGAGCAAGGGTTAGCAGGGGAGGTATCTGCATGGGGCTGGGGGGGCAGACAGCCCATTCTGCACCACATTTGGGGTTGTTGGGGGCTAAAACAGAGCAAGGACACTCAGTGCTGTGCTGATTCTCCCAGCACCCTCAGCTGGGGCAGAACTGGTGTCACTGGGGTGCTGGGTGTCACTGGGGCGAGGCACGGTGCACCCACATGCGTGTTGCAAGGGGTGTTGCTCACACTGGTGTCCCTGGGGCTGCAGGAGGAGGCAGAGCCTGGCCAAGCCCAGGCAGCAGCGACCTGCTGCTCCCCTGCTCCCAGCACCCAAGGCTGCTCCCCGGGGCAGCCCCAGCCCAGGCTTCCCCTCCAGGGCAGGCAGTGGCCCTGTGGACCTTGGGTTCAATGGGCTCCTGCCCAGCTGGAGGTCAACGAGAGCTGGATTCAGCCTCAGGGGTTAATGGCAAAGGATGGGCCACTGCAGCGCTGGGTCCAGGGCAGCAATCACTGCTCCCAGGGGACTTCCCCAAATGGGGCTGGCTGTTCCCTGCGGCCACCGCTCCACGGCAGGACATGGGGGGTGGATGTGCCAGCACTGCCAGAGGGCTGGGGGACAGGTCCTCCCTATCGCTCTCCTCAGCTGGGACACAGAGCAACCCCTGCCACCTCGCAGGCAGTGCCTCCAGGGCTCCTGCCCTGTAGCGGGGGGGACAGCCCAATCCATGCCAGTCCCACGCTGGAATGGGGTGGCGCTGAGCCCTTGCTGTATGAGACCTTGTCCCGGAGCTGCTGGTGATCAGGATGCTGCCTGCCCCACCACAGCCAGGTCCTGGGGCAGCACAGGGATGCTGGGGCATTACCACCACCACCATGAAACACCCTGTGCCCAATGAGGCGCCAGAGCCCAGCATTACCTCACTGCCACGGCCTCCCATTGGCCACGAGCCTGATGAGGTTACCGAGGGAACACTGCATCATCACCACCTACGTTGTCATCATCATTGCCTGGGGATGCCCCCGCCCCAGGGGTCCCTGCTGCCACCTACCCCCCAGCCTCACCAGCTCCCCGGGACACCCAAGCAGGAGCAGCCCCACAGCCCCTGGAGGTGTCAGAAGGTCTGGAGGTGTCAGCAGGGCTGGGGGGACAGAAGGGACCTCTGTCCCAAGGCCTGCCCTGGCCCTGCTGTCCCCCTGCCTCTCTACATCCCTCCTTCCCCAAATCTTGCACCAGTCCCACTGGGTTCAGAGCCCGGGGCGGGAGGGTGAAGGAAAAGCACAAGCTGGTCTGGACCAGGGAGGTCTGTGCAGAAGAGGGCTCGCAAAGCTGCTTCAGCCTCCTCTGAGCTCCAGCTCCGTCATCTCTGCCATCTCTCCCAGCTCCTGCCACTTGCCACATCAAAAGGCATTGCCATAGCAACGCTCCACATGTTGCTGATGGAGACAGGTTGCCTCAGTGGCCAGGCCACCCCTTCTCCATGGCGTCCTCCTCCCAGGTCCCCCCTTCCTTCCTCCCTGCCGACAGCTACGGCCACAGGGCAGGAGGGTGGGAAACGGGGACCCTGGGTTGGGGATGTCCTGCGCTTCCCCTCCCCAGGCTGCAGATACGTGAGCCAGGCTCGGTCCCCCATCTCCAGCCCCGGCTCCCCCCCCTCCCAGGAGACTGTTCCTGGGGATCCCTGGAGGAGCACAGGGAGAGGGAGCCCCTCTCCAAGCAGATGGCTCCTGCTCCATCCCTGCCTTCAGCTGCTTTGCTGCTCCCTGGGGGCATGATGGCATTTTGCCTGCCTAGCTATGGTCTCTGGGGTGCTCTGGGCACAGCCCAGTGCTGGGATACCCAAGCCGCAGCCAGGATGGGGTGCACAGGCTGGAGGGAGGCAAGGGTGAGGATGAGTCCTGCGGGGTGCAGCCTGCAGCCCCCCAGTCTTGGATGGAGGGGGGAAAGCCTCCGGGAGACCCTCCCAAATTGCCTTCAAACCCTGCGGAGCTTTTGTTTTAGACAGAGCAGAGTGCCCTGGGAGCGCAGGTGGCCGGGCAGCATCTCGCTGCCAGGTGGAAGGGGGTCACTGGAGCGGTCCTGCTCCGGCCCATCCCAGACAACCTGAGTCTGTCTCCAACACAGCAGCCCGAACACTGCCCAGAGCCCTCTGCTCCCCAGCTGCCCCACAGACCCCTGGGGATGGCTTGCTCACGAGGACCCCTGCGCCCCAGGGCTGGGGCACAGCACACTTCTCAGCTCGTACCTGGCGGCAGCACCCCACTGCCCTGTCCCCGGCCGCCCCAGCCCCGAGGGCCGGGCACGCCTTGCTCCTACCTCTCCCACTCCTGTTTGCACGACCTTCAGGCCCAGCTCTGCCTCCAGCTCTGCCTTCACGTGCTCTGTGGATGGAGAAGAGATGGTTAGAGGGGTGCTTCCCTTCCACCCAAGAGACCACCTGCCCAGAGACAGAGCCAAGGGATATCCCTGACACCTGCCCACCCCACACCAGCTTCCCAGTTCAGCCAGTAGCACTGGGATGTATGGTGGGAGCCTCTTCTTCCTGGCCCCTGGGAAGGGGTCTCCCACAACTCAGGGAGGAAAGGGGGGCACGGCCAGGGGGAGCCCAGCCCAACTCACCAGCCTGGCTGGCCACGTCCGCCAGCGAGAGGTTCTGGGGGTTCTGCCGGATGCGGAAGGTGAGCGCGGGGCCCACGACGCTGCCGGGGACGGGGGGACACAGCGTGAGACTGGGGAGTGCAGACCCCATCCCCACCACAGCCTGGTTCCTCCTGGCCCCCCGGCTCGGGGCAGCCGTGCGTGGCCAGGGCTGCAACAGCAGCACCCCGCAGCCCAGCTCCCCTCACCTGATGTTGATGAAGCTGGCCGTGGAGAGGTGGAGGCGCTTGGCGAGCAGCTCCAGCAGCCGCACGCCGGCGGCCAGCCCCAGGGGCCTGCGGGGACAGCGGCAGGGTGAGGGGTGGGCAGTGGAGGCAAGGGGAGAGCCCATGCTCCCCGCAGCTGGGGAAAGGCGACAGGCAGGCGTGGGGAGTCCCACACGTGGAGCGAGGGCTGTCAGGGCGGGCAGGAGGTAAGGCAGAGCATGGGGATGTGTGGTGATGGAGGTGAGCTGACCCCCCCCTTGTGCATGAGTGTGCGTGGAGGCAGTTGTGCAAACATTTGGCTGAGCCTGTCCCAGCCTCCTGTCCTGCAGCAGCGAGCTCCAGCCTCGGCGTGGGCTGAGGGGAAGGCTTTGGGGTGGGATAAGGGCTGTGGGCGGAAGGGGATGGGGAGCTGACCCCACTGGAGACCCACACAGGCTCAGCCAAGCACACGGAGCTGCGACAGCTAGCCTGGGGGGATACAGCCCCTCCGCACACACCCCACCTCGCCCGATCCCCGGCTCTCACTTCTGGTCCGTGACGATGTAGCCGTACTCGTCCGGTGGCCGTGTGCCCCGCTGTGCCCCACCATCCTTCGCCTCTGTGTAGCTCTTCTTCTCCACTGCGATCGGCTTCCCAGGGCTGAGTGTGTCACCGCTATGCCCCCGCTGCGGCTCTGCCCGGGGGGCTGGCGAGGACGCTGCCCTGCCCCTCAGCCTGTCCCCTGGGGAGCTGGTGGCTGGGATTTTGGGGGGCGGGGCTGTGGAGGAAGGGGGCACTGGCTCCTCTCCGTGCTGCATATCCCCCTCAGACACCTGGAGGAGGGAAAGGGAGGAGCTGGGACCCCTGAGGAGAGCCCTGGGGGGGGCTGCCCCCTCCTACGCACACACACACCCCCCACCTGCGGCGTGGCACCTCCTCCAGCACCACCCTGCTGCAAACCCACCCGTTTCTTCTTCGCTGTAGGCACTTCAGGGCCAGCAACACCTGGGAAGGACAGAGATAGAGGTCCTGCGGCACCCACCCCGAGAGGCAACACCCCCTATCCCAAAACAGGGCGTGCTGGCACCCGCCGCTGCCAGTCTCTGCCTGCCCCATCCCTGCATCCCGCTCACCAGAGCTCTGGAGCAGCTGGAGAAGGGTGGAGAGGCTGCTTAGCTGCTGGGGGCTCAGCTCCGGCAGCCCCAGGCCGTAGCTGGCCAGGAGGGAGGCCAGTCTCTTCAGGGCAGCGTCTGCAAGAGGATGCAGCATCAGGTCGGACACCCTGCATCCACATGGGGACCACAGGCCAGGGACGCAGCAGAGTCTGAGCCACGAGGAATGTGGCTGCGGGGACAGGATGGGGATGAGGGCTCGGTGCCTGGCTGGGGGACACGGTACCTGTCTGTGCAGGGGGTAGCTGGGCAGCCAGGGGCACTGGCTGCTCCCTCTCCTCCATATCCCTGTAGTCACTGGGGAGCCGTAAGCTGTGCTGGAGCCTGGTGCCAGCAGGGCCCGGGCGGCCGGCTTTCTCTCTGGGCAGGGAGAGCATGCCCAAGTCCTGGAAGAGATGCCCCCCATCCGTTCCTGGCTGCCCGCCATAGGAGGGCACAGGGCCAGCCCCAAAAAGGGCCTGGGCAGGGACCCGGCCCAGCAGCGAGGAGGTCTCAGGGCTCTGCCTGGCTGAGCTGCCGGGGAGCTGGTGAGCACCGTCCTGGTAGCCGAACTGCAACCAAAACACAGAACCACCATGGTCAAACGCCACAGGGCCCCTGCCGCCCCATGGCAGGGCACCCCCAAGCCTGGGTTACCCCAGCACCAGCAGAAGGAGGGTGCTGGGAGTGCCGCAGCCCCCTGCCCATCCCTACCTTTCCACCCGGGAGAGGGGGGGCTCCCCCCCATCTCTTACCTTGTGGTAGGAGTAGGGGTTGAGCAGAGCCTCCTCGTAGCCCAGCTGGGGAGGGGGAGACAGCAGGAGGTGCTCCAGGTACCGCTGCAGCAGCGGGGAGGGCAGCAGCGGCTCCGCGGCGGCGGGGGGGGGGCCGGGGGGGGGGGGGCCTCCCCCAGATGCTGAGCAGCCGGCAGGCCGGGGTCCACGGGGAGCGGGGCTCGCCGGGGGGAGCCACGGAGGGGCAGGAACCTCGGAGGCAAACACCGCTGGGGTGACTCACCTGGGTACTGGGGAGACCCCCTCCCCAAAACCCCATTTGGGGGGTGAAGCCCTCGCTGCCCTGCCAGGCTCTGCTCGCAGGCTGGCAGCTGGCACTGCCCTACCTGTCCCTGGCCGCCGGCTCCAGCGAGGGCGGCGGGCGGAGGCGGGGGATGCGCTCCATCTCCTGCGAGATCACATACTGGGTGATGCCGTCCTGCCACGAGAGCCCTGCCACGGGAAGGGGCTGTGAGACACAGAGCAGGCCTGGGGACCACGGGGAGAGCGCATGGGAGGCCACCCTGGTGTCCTGACCGTGCCCCATGGCTTCAGTTTGGCCCCAGTCCTCCTAGAGTCAGCTGGACCTCTGCTCAGCTCACCCAGGCCCCCGGGGCCAGCAGGACCCCAGACAGCCCTAGTGGCACTCGGCAATGCTGCCCGGCACCCCCGCCCCACGCTCCCCCCTTCACCTTGTGCCATGAGATGCCGCAAGACATCCTGCAGGCGCTGGAGCACGGGAGAGGTGACCTGGAAGTAGGGTCTGTCCTGCACGGAGCCCACCTGGCACTGCCCAAACAGCCCATCTGCAAGAGAGGGGAGGCGGGGGGGTGGAGGGATGAACGCCCCACGGTGAGGAGGGTCTCTGGGCACAGCCCCAACTTTCTCCTGCTGTGCCCCCCCCCGCTGCACCCCAAGTTCCCCTGCAAGGCAGCCATGCGCCCTCCACACCCCCGTGGGAAGGAAGAAGGGATCCCCGCACCCCCTCTAGCCACTTACCCTGCACGCACACCTCCTGGGGGGAGCACAGCCTCCGGTCAAACAGGCAGCCTGGGACAGACAGACAGACAGGCCAGTCAGCACAGCCTCCAAGGGGGGGGCTCCAACGGGGTTTGCTCATCACCAGCTGCTCGGGGCCCCCCACTCTCCAGGAAAGTGCCACGGGGGTGCAATGTGGTGATGGGGGGGGCACAGGCTGGTAGCCCAGGGCAGGGCCTCGGTGCCAGCCTCCCCCCGTCCAAAGCCAAGATGGGGGCTGTGCGCAGAGCCTGCCCCTGCCTCTGGGGAGCGGGGGGAGCCCTGGAGTTTTTTTGGGGTGCCGGCAGTTAGGAAGGGAAGGCCGAGGGGGCACGGACCTGCAAGACCCCATCTGTTGCCCTCCTCCATGTGGCAGGGACGCAGCCCGGTGACACCAGAGACCCCCTCTCCCCGCGCGGGGACCCCAAAGCACGCATGCAGCGGGGGGGGAGGGGGTGTCTCTCCACCCCCTTCGGGGGGCAGCACTTGGTCAGGGGGCGGCTTCCCCCTTCCTCTCCCCCCCTCCC